CTATATATATATCTATATATATAGATTTTCCTGGAGGCTACATGTGGATAGTACAGCATTCTAACAGGCAATTTAGTCTAAATTATCTTTGGCTCACTTCAGGAACATGACTGTGTACAATTAAAGCATATCTACTGAGGCAAAACCAATTAATACAATATTTTGATGTTTTACTTAATGTTGCTGTTGTCAGGCTCTCATTTTCAGTTATTGTGTTTGAAAAGGATTAACCACATTTCAGAGATATGATTTGTAAAATATGTTTCTCCTTCATACTTTGAGTTCAGCTTCTGTTCTGTTTCATGGTCAAGAGAATTTACATTGGCTTTTTACTGAACTATCTGAACACTACCACATGTAGAAACAACGAGAACCAGTCCAGAACCAGTAACTAATAAAAGCTTTGCATTCAAACATTTTTTCAGTTTCATTTACTGTTTATATAACGTACATATTCCAGTTCTTTGAATATGCATCAGTCTGAACAACAAATGAAGAATATACTCCTGCCTGTTGCTGCATTTGTATTCCCTCTCCCAGCGGTACTTCCTTACAATCACTCATGAAATGTAGGTAGTCCTCAACTTACGACCACAACTGAGCCCAAAGTTTATTTTGTTAAATGAGACATCTTTGAAGTGAATTTCATTTTACCACCTTTCTTGCCACAGTTAAGTAAATCACTGCAGTTGTTAAGTTAGCAACATAGTTGTTAAGTGAATCTAGCTTCTGCATTGATTTTGCTTGTTAGAAGGTCACAAAAGGTGATCACATGACTCTGGGACATTGCACCTGTCATAAATATGAGCCCGTTGCCAAGCATCTGAATACTGATCACATGACCACTGGGTTGCTGCAATGGTCATAAGTGTGAAAAATGGTTGTAGGTTACTTTTTCAGTGCTGTGAATGGTTATTAAACAAACTATTGTTAAGTCATGGACTATCTGTATGGACTGCAATATAGTTGGGCTATAGTATCAGACAGCATTTTGCTCTTCTTCACTTCACCTTCCTGTATTGTTTGTTTGTGTCAGAAGCATTACAATTAAATAAGGCATGCTACGCAACATAAAACACAAAATGCAAGATTAAAAAATGTACAAGTTAAACAGATCTTGCCCAGAAACTAGGAACATGAATTGTGTTGTGTCACACTGCCATGAGGCCCTTGAGTGTGCACTGGAGGACAATCCAGAAGCACAAGCACCCCTCCTATAGATTCATAGCTTGTAAGGACACTGTTGGGAGGGGGGTTGTCCTAAAGGGCAAACTGGTTGAATTTCCAAGCTGAGGTTCCAAGTAATTATCCATGTGTATATCTGTGGCCTTTCAGGCAGAATAAAGATACACTAAATCACACTTATTAAGTGCCTGAGAAAGGTATCCACACAGAGGGAACAAATTTATAAAGAGACTGCACAGAGATAAAACTATGCTTCCCCTCTAGTAATCTGGTCTCAACATGTGATTTTAATAGTTGCACAAAATTGCCCAATGCCCTATTGTTCCCTCTATTTGGATATGGTGCAAAATTTGACAATCAGCATTTTATATGAGACTCTCATAAACAATAGCAATAGCTCTTTGACTTATATACCACTTTATAGTCCTTTACAGCCCTCTGTAAGTGGTTTACAGAGTCAGCATATTGCTCCCAACAATCTGTGTCCTCATTTTATCCACCTTGGAAGGATGGAAGGCTGAGTCAACCTTGAGCCTAATTAGATTCAAACTGCCAAATTGCAGGCAGACTGCAATTCTGCAGTCAGCAGAAGTAGCCTGCAGTACTGCATTCTAACCCCTGCGCTACCACAGCTCTTAAGTCACAAATTTCATCCATTTGATATATAAACTGAGCCAACATTCATCATGCTACAAGGAAATGAATGTGTAATATATATATAATATTCTAGGGGTAGATATATCCCTACATTCAATTTCTATGGCTGCTCATCTGAACAAATGATTTCAAATCAGTTTCTGATGTTCTGCTAGAAAATGGTTTATATGTGGTCAAGATCATATTGTGGAAACCAGCAGGGTTTTTTCTCCTTCACCTTTACTTGACACTTGAAAATGAGCAGTTTGTTGCATAGTCTGTCCTGGCTTGGTCTTTACTGTTCCAGCTGAGCTCTTCTTCCTCCTTATCTAATGATATAGTAAATTTGATTTCCATCTACTCCATCTGGCAATATGCATGTATACAGACGCTGTTCAGTTATTGGAAAACCATGTTAGCAATGAAAAGATAATTGGACTGGTAGAAATTTATATTGATAAGTTGTTTTTCTGCCTCATTTTGATTTCCTAGGCCAAACAGTCCAAATATATTTTTTGTCTTCCATGTTCTGTATATTTCAAATTGAACTTGATCATATAAAACTTGTCAATTTTTTCTTCTTCTACATCAGTGGTTGGAGCATAATGAAGTCTACTGATTGCACTTTACCCAAATATTGTATTTGTTACATCCTTCTTATGGAAGAAGTGCCACACCTTTGTTTTTCATGTCCCCGAATAGTAAACAGTATAATTTTCTGACTGAAAATGTCCATTTCCAAACCATTTCAATTCATTCTTGTCCAATATGTTAACATGTAGTTGTTTCATTTTTATCTTTTACTGTGTTGAGCTTTTCCATGTTCTTATATTCCATGTTCCTACTATAACTGTTATTACAAGCTCAGATTTTCTTTTCCTGTCCAACAGCATCAGCAACTAGTTATCCTAAGTCTTTAACATACCACATTATAAACATTTAATGCTCTAAAGGATCCTTAGCTATTGATATTGATAGCATATTAAGTGCTCTCCCTATCATCCAGAATTTTATCATCAATCACTTTATCCTATCTATCCATGTGGTTTTCTTGATCAAATATAGGAGTGGTTTACCGGTCTTCTATGCAGTATGAAATTATTGTCTTGGTCATTCTTACTATAGTGATCATCCTCCACTGACATGTTCTTATATGGTTGCTGCCCAACAAAGGTGCTTGTTTGCTTTAGCTAGACAACTGGGATGAACTTCATCTCTTGGTTGACTCTGTTGGGAAAATATACCCCTGGTGTAGAATCCAGCATTCTTTGCTCATTCCTCCCAGGAACACCCCATTACAATTAACGAGAAAGTGCAGAAGAACTTGAGGAGGGAATGTGGAGATTGTGTGTCAGTTCTACAAAACTATATCTAAATACTTCATACAACATAGCTCAGTCAAAACTAGATCAACCTCCAACCAGTGTTTATCACTCACTGGATGAATTAAATATACTGCCAAATTCTGAATACCTAAATTCTAGTATCTATACACTGAGGTCTGCTACTTTGTCCAAATTGCTTTGTATATATGGGATAAACTACAAAGTGATAAAATGAATTAAGAAAACAGAGTATAGGAGTGAACTAGAGAAACCAGAGTTTTTATCATCTATTCACTAGTACAGTAGTAGATACAATACAAAAAGAACTTGAAAACCTCCAGTGATAAAGCATCTACAACCTCTGGAGACAGTGATTAATTGTTCTAACTGTCAGGAAAATTCCCCTTATTTCTAGGTTGAACAACTTGGTTGAACAATTTTATTTACATTGTTTTCTTCTATGGAAGAAGAAACAGAAAAAGTACATTTTTGGTAGTTAACTTCCATTATTCATCCATCAGCAAAGATATAACTGTTTCTTAAACATTCAACAAAATAAGTTTCAAGAAAAAAAATGCACTGAATTAGATACCAATAATTTAGATGTGTCCTAAGTAGCAAATTATCTGTAAAAATGTCCTTTACTAAAATTTCATTAACCTATTGAAATGAATAATGGCTCTGACCTACAAAACACATATGAGAAAGAAACATAGCTTCATTTAAGTGAGGCATTTTCACACAAACTTTTTAAAGGAACACTGTTATATTTATAGCATACTCAAAACAGATGATCTGATGCAAGATAGTACTATTTCATATTTATAAAAAATGCTAACTAAAGTAACGTGCTGAAATAGCAAACAAGATGCCCCCCAAAATCACTCAAGAGGGATGCAAAATTTTCTTCTAATAACAATTCACCTTCAATGCTCACTAAAGGGAAGCTGGGGAAATTCTTTCATCAACCTCATTCTATCAAATAAACATTGGCTAACAGAAAAGCCCCAAAGAATCAGCTTTTGTGCAACATGAAAGAAGGAAAAAGCTGCTATAACTTATATATATATATGCATGCATGCATGCATGCATGCTGCTATCTGCTTAGAATGGTATAAATATTGCTTAACTGCTTACATTTGAAAACTGCAGGACAAGATAAAGCTTTAGCCTATATATTCATTCAGTGTTTAAGAGTTTACTCTTTATTGTAGATACAATAATATCATTCAGTGGGTATCAACACTGAATGCATACAGAAGTTTTGGCAAGTTCATGTTTCCTAACCAGTTGTTTTGCAGTTTATATGTTGCCAACTGGAAATAATTTTCTTAAATTCAAAACTACATAATATGTGAATGATGAATGTGAATT